CTACTGTGGAAACGGCATAATGCGACTCCGTGCAGCAACAACGTGCAGGCACATGCGACGGCGTAACGAGTCTGCACATCCTGCACACTGCCACGTGCCACACGCCATCCGAGCCACGGTTTCAGCGCGCCGCCCACAGATCACGACCCCAGTCGCGCACACTCTGTAGCCGACTGACGGGCTGGGCAGGGGTCCGATCGAACAGCCCTTCGCCCAAAGGACCGGGCCACTCGTCCAAGGGGCAGCTTCGAGCAACCGACGTGCGCGTCGTTCCGCTCGCCCGGTGCGTGCCGGTGCCCGATTCCGGGCCGTACGGGCTCGGGCCTCACCAGAGAGGGGGAGGGGGGAGGGCGGAGCAGGAGGAGCTAAAACGACGCGAAGATCGGGACAAAATCGGATCGGGATAACTCGAAATCTCTGAGAATCGGCGGGTTTGGAGGATGTACTGGACGCCGCGGCCGCTCCAGAGCCTCTGAGAGCGCTCCGGAACGCTCTGGAGCGATTTATCCCGATCCCAGCCTTTTTTCAGGAGCTGATGCAAGATCAGGCTGGGGCGGACTGGCCAAGAACGCACGAGCAGCACGAGACTCCTGCGCCTCAGCTGCCTCCGGGGGCCCACGGGGACCCGGGCGTGGCCTCCGGGTCCAGGACCGCCTCGGGCGAGGCGGAGGCACTCTCTGCAGCTGGCGGGGTGGGAAAGAAACGACTGGACTCCGGTCCGGGTCTGCTCGCGCGACACGAGCGGAATGAGAAGCAAAGTCAGGTGCCCATTTGTCACTGTGTCCCTGATAAGGTGCCCAGGAAACGTAAAGCTGAAGCAGTGCATCACGGATGTCCTGCCCCTCCCCCATAGCCGCAGGCAGCTTGTCGTCAGCACACTGCATCGTCATATGGGCATTGGTGTCACCCATGCTGTCGGCAATGCGGCGGCAGAGACTTGTGGGGTTGATCTTTTTCTCTGCCGTCCTCCATTCCATCCGTGAAACGTCGTAAGCCATCAACGTTTCGTGTCCTCCCTGCCCGTGTCAGCACCTACCTCTTCCAGGTGTATCCAAGAGTCTCCGGTTGAGTCCAAGAATCCTCAGGGCAACGATACGAGTGGTTGCACGAGCCGTCCGACCATGTTCGCATTGGTCAAAGTCCGTCGTCGTCACAGCAGGTGAGGACGTCAGTGCCCGGAGCAGGCGACATGTGAACGAAGAAGCAGCCTGTAATCTCCAATGGCATGGCCGGGGATGCTCCACCCAACGTGACGTGCCTACAGCAAGGTGCGCTGACAAACTAACAGTAACATGGCGCCCGGTAGTGCATTTCCTGCCCACACCTGTTCCATTTGACGCGGTGCCATTGCCGACATGCCCCTGTGCTCGTCGTGTGTACGCAGAGGCGGGGGCCTGGAGCCCTCGGCCCACCTCGCGGCGGACCAGGTCTCACACGGTGGCCTGCCTCCCGACAAGACCACCCTCCCCGCCAAAACGCGTTCACGCCACATTTGGAGCGTGGTGGTATTCATCATGTCCCCAAGCGTAGCATGTATGGCAATATCTATCGCCAGCACGATAGCCGCATAGTCAGGCAGATAGTGTGACCACTCCACCGGGGCCTGAATGTCCCCCCCGCGTCTGCGACCACAGTAGTGATTGAGTACGAAGTATTCACTACGACGTATGGCTGCTGGCAAGGGGGTAGCAGCAACACCCGCATACCTTTCTGTCAAGAGAACTCTGGTAGGGTAGCGTTCAGTGTTGGGGACAGGGGCCTCGGCTGGCACGGCGTCCTGCGGTGGCGGGGGTAACTGCATGTATTCTGCATCAGGATCTGTGGCAGCCATCTGTTCACGCGCGTCCTGCTGTGTCATGGTCGTCATCATGCGCTCGGCACTCGGCACTAGGGGTCCGTAGGCCCTCCGAGTCGGAACCACGACATGTCTACGTGAGTTAAGGAGCCCGCTGTCTGGCGTGCCATTCGTGGGGCCAATTCTGGAAAGTCGATACGAAAGGCTGGATTTTGGCGGGTGGTAGGTAGGATATACATACACCTTGACTTGCGTATGAGCGAGCCAAGTCCGACTGTCTGCGATGCACGCGTGCAACATGCGTATGGAAAGTCACATACGGCGGCTGGAAAACGCGCGCGCACCACGGGCACTTAGTCTGCACATGGGTGGGATGAGCCGTGGGAGGATCGATCAGCATGCCCTGTGCGTCTGTGTACACACGCTGTGGTACTCCAGCCGAGTGAGCTATCCCGAACTTTCGTTCCATCTGAGCTCCCATGGTATTGCGCATGTCGTACTGAACCTGCGCATGCATGGCCTGACGCAAGATGCGCTTCCAGGCAGGTGCGCTACGACGGGCAGGGGTATCCCAAGGACAAAGATCCTGCCGGGGGTGGGGGGGGGAAGTCAGCACAGGCATGACTGGCGGCCCGTAGCCACTCGAGGTCGTCCAACACCATCCCGAACCACGTGCGAACCTGCGCGGCTGGAGCAGACGTTGTTGATTATATTGTTTGGATCAACGCAACGGCAAGCCGTGGTCCCGTTGCAAGCAGCGACCGTGCACGCGCAACCGTCCCACTCTGAGTAGAATGGCGGGGGACGGTCGTTGCAAACGGGCCAGAACCAGCCTGTCTAAAATGCACCACTTGTCTTCCACACAACGTGCGCGTGCTGCCGCCCGGTAAACCTTCGTCGCAGCTGTGTGTGCACTCTCCCCTGCGGTCAAGGCAGTCCGTGCACCCGCGTTGTAGAGCTTGCCTGACATAACCAAGCTGTCGGCGAACAGCATACAGTCGGGGCGCTGAAGAAGAAACTCTTTTCGTTGGGGAGGGGCTCGGTGTTCCTTGATTGGTGTACAGTTTGCCTTGGGTTTTCCTTCCGTTTTCCATGGGAAATCAAAACTTAACTTATGGGAGCAAGGGGCCTCATTCCTTATTTAGGGTTCCTTAGGTCAACGCCCCGACTGTACGCGCAGACTCTGGCAGCACATCTGTTGCAAATACTCTGCGACTCAGGGTCTGGAGGAAACCCAGGGTAGTGGTAACATACTGCCTAATGTCAGGGCCGACAAGGGCCCCTTGATCGACGACAGAGCCAAGATGGACATAGTCATGCACCACGGGGGCATCACGAGGACTCGGCAGACTGGACGCAGCCCGCAGGTGTCCCCCCATGCTGGCGCCAAATGGCGTGCACAGCGCTCTTGGTGCCTGTACCCCGCAACGAGATAATCGCCGCTGTCTCGGCAGCTCCAACGTTTTGGAGGTGACCGCGCCGTTCACAAGCATCATTGACCACCGCCAACACTCGACACAGGCCGTCATAAAGCAGACTCGCTGCCATAATCATCACAATGGTGCCGTCATCTGCAAAGGCCGCGTCAATTAGAGGCACAGTCGCTGTCGCCGCTGCTTCCGCGCATATGTTCGCAGAACCGTTGCTATCGTCACAGGGGAGGCTATGCGCTCAGCCCTCTGCGGTCAACCGCGCACGCACGTTATCCATGCAGTCGCCCATCACCACTTCGTATAGCATGTCTGCGAGTGGTTGCCCCGGGAAGAACGGTCGTTGAGGTGACGGAATTTGTCCCGAGCCAGCGTACAGTGCGGGCACGGCCGCAAGAAACCTTCGCAAGAAACCCTCGCAAGAAACCCAACCCTGAAAACCCGCGCGCGAGGTGCACCCCAGGGGAAACCCGGAGCACCCTTAAACACAGCAGCCTCTTCGACGGCTGCGGAAATGCACCGCGCAGCTCCCGGAGTGAAGAAACCCAGGGTACCCTGACGCAAAGTGCATGGTTTCTCGATGCGCGCCCCTACTGTATGCGAACCATGGTGCATGACAGCACTCTTCGACTCGTCGTGCCTCCCGAAGACCGCATGGCGAGCCCGTGCGTGGCCCGCGGCGGCAGCCTGGCAGCGCGCACGAGGCACGCAGCAGAGAGAGAGGTCGTCGAGCCGCGAGTATTGAGCAGGAGCTCGCGCAGGCTGCGGTAAAAGGCCTGCGCCACATCCGGAGACAGGGCAGCGAGTGCTCGGCTACGCTGATGGGCACAGCTTTGAATGTTGCGGTCTGCTGTAGTTTGCGTACTGGCCAGCATCGAGTGGATCCAGGTCAGACGCTCGAGCCCCGATCGGCGGCAGCCGACAGGGGTCCCTGAGCTTGTCAGGCTAGTCTGTCGTGAACGGCGGCATACGCGCACGTTCCGGGGGGGTCCCGAAGTGGGGCAGCAAGTAAACGAGCCATTTCCAAGGCTGACAAACATGCATCGGCTACTGCTGTGGCACCGTCACTCAGAATGGTGTGGGAGGGGCCATGGGCCATTTCGATCTGAGAAGCGATGTCTGCACCTACGCATGCAAAGCCACTCCTGTGCCTCTTTCCCGTCTGACGACCTTGCAACAAACACAATCGCAAGTCGCAGCTGGTCCAATCGTCGTCGTAGCCGGCGGAGAGACGTCACCACTGGAGCGAGGGTTTTTGAGCGCGAGTGAAAGGACAACCAATCCTGCCTGGCTTCCCTTCCCGCGACGGACCTTTGAGGAGGGAAGCGCTCTCGGGCGGCCTCCGAGATGGCAGTATTCAGAAATCCCACCAGCCCTCTGGGCTTAGGTGGTATAACGCGTTTTTTCTTCTCTCTTCCACTGAAACTCCTCCCCCTACCCCCTCCCCTGGGCCAGGAAGGGGGGGGGGACCGAGGCGCTAGAGCGTCCAAGATGGCCCAAGATTGCTCCAAGAGGGCTTCGAAGTCGCAAGATGGCCTCCAAGATGGCCCATGCTACTTCAAGATGGGTCAAGATAGCCTCCGACATACCCCCAAGAGGCCCCAAAACAGCCCCAAGACGGATCCAAGTGCCCTTCGAGCCCTCCACGGCGCCCTCCAAGATGCCAAAACCGTTCAAATGCCTAGGGGAAAATCAATGTTTTTGGCATTATCACCTTTCCGCTTCCGATGGGCTTTGGAAGCCTCAAGATGGCCCAAAAGAGGCCCAAGAGGGGCCCAAGTAGGTCCGTAGCCATTTTGGCTCAAGCTGTCTCAAGGCGCTCAGTTTGACGCTTCCCTACTCGCTTTGTCTCTTTCCGCAAGCAGCCATTCCGTAAACTAAGCTGGTGATGGATCGGAGCACCTTCGAAAACGTCACGGAAAGGCAAACCCTTGAGGATTGTATTGGAATATGCTTCGTCATTTCGTCTGTGGAGGACATCGACAACGTGAAAGAGACTGCTGCCATGGTAACCGACATCGCGATCTTTGCGCTCAAGGACACAAAGGCCGAGGACGACGAGGATGGCAAGAAACAGATCAAGGAGATCAATAAGGAGCTTTTCTTTGTGCATGCCTACGACGATTGGGATGAAGAAATCACTCCGATCACAGATGAAGACCTACGCGATGGAGTGATCGCCGGAGAAATATCTCTGCGTCTCAAGGTAAAGGTGAACATGAATTGCTCAGCATTCCCTTTCGATGTCCAGACGCTTCCTATCCTCCTGTACTCTGGTGATGATGGTCGGACGCTGGTGAGCGCAGAACATTTCTGGATTGACGGGAGGTGGTCGGGCTACGCGCGCGCGGTCGCCATTACCCCGACGGCGCTCATCTCTGATGAGTGGGATCTGACTTCGGCAGCCGCTGTTTACGACAAGTCAGACATCAGTGAGACCATGTACAAGCAATCCCAGATCGGCGTGTACATCGCGCTTAAGAGAAAAGGTTCAGGTTACTTCATTCGTCTCGTGTCTGCCAACGTGATGATCTCGGCCGGCGCAGTGTTGCCGTACATGATGCCTTCAATGGAGCCGACCGGCATCATGGAACACCAGGTGGGCCTGCTCTTCGCCGTAGTGAGCTTTCAGCTGCTGCTCTCGAGCTTCCTGCCACCCACAAGCACAATGACAGTCTTGGACCATTACAGCATCGGACTCTTTTGTTTCATCTTTCTCTTGATGCTACTCCCGGCGGTGGAAGGCTACTACCAGGGGCCTGAAGTCGACACAATTGACCCTGAACACTCTAGTTTTTTTTTTTTTCACTGGTCCTTCTCAGTGTGGCTGGTCGGCCACATCACGTTTGCAGCCCGCGTGGTATAGTTAATGTACTTGCAAAAGACGGCTGTGTACAAGCACGAGAAGAGGAAAAGCAAGCCCCTTTTGAGCGTTCGATGCGGTAATAACTGGGAGGAGGACAAAGCATTTCACTCAACCCCCGTGTTTTTGGAGGCATGGCAGGAGCACGAAGACTGAGGCGAGGACAACACTCGTCGCGTGCCGCGGGGATGCGTAGGCGGGGCAATGTGCGGTATCGGGCCATGATTGGCCCCGTCTGGTTGGAGCGATTTCGCCGGCCTCAAAGGAACAGCTTTCTCAACTAGCAGTTTCGCAGTGCTTAACGTTGTGTTTGGCAGCAGTGCTCTGCTTGAATCAGGTTCCCATGAGCTAGCAAGAAAAAAAAAGAGGGGCCCAAGTAGGCCGAAGCGGCCCCAAGATCGCCCAAGAGGCGCCCAAGAGCGCTCCAAGAGGGCCCCAAGATGCCGTTTGAGAGCCTCCGAGGGGGGGGGGCGAATTTCTCCCCCCCCTCTTTTTGAGCCATGGTGCCCAAGACGGCCCCAAGAGGCCTCCCAGACCCCCCAAAGAGCCCCAAGAGGGCTCCAAGACTCCCCCAAAAGATCCTCAAGAGTGCCCCAAGAAGGCCTCAAGGCAGCCTCAAGATGGCTGCTCCGCAATCGGCATGGTCGCTTAGGGTGCTGTCGGCGGCTTGTAGAGGGCATCGCGACCGAATTTTGTGTGCCTTGCCCGTGCACGTTGCCTGTCTATGGAGAAAGGACACGCGTCAAGAGGAGGGGAGGAGGAGGAGGAGGAGGAGGCCACCTGTGCGCGCTACCAGTATCTGCTCCCAGCCCTCGCGCAGCGAGGATGGCCGCGTCACCAGCCGCCTCGCCAGCGTCCTCGCCGGCTGCATGGTGGTGGGATGGCGGTCGTGCTCGTGCCCTCCCGTCCTTCGCTCTCGGCCTCTCCTCCTTCTTCCTCTCGGGGCGGTTTTGCTTCCGAGATTGAGCCTGGCGCGTCTCGAAAGACGCTGCGCGGTAACACTTGCCAGCTACTCCTGCAGTTGAGGGCGCGACGCCCTTCAATTCGTTTTTTTGGCGGCGGCCCTGCCGTGTACCCCGCACATGCAGTGCCTGTTGGCACATCTCAGGAGCTATATCTAGGTCGGCGCACACGCGCTGCGCTCTTGGCCATCTCGCTCCAGCGCTTCTTCCCGAGGAAGGCTTCCAGTAGCCCGCTCGGCTGCTCTCCTGGCCGCCGTGCTTCAGCGAGCGTCTCTCGAGTAGGTAACTGCACTGTGGCGACAGTGGGGAGATGTGCCATCAACGTGTGGCGTCTTATCCAGCAGCTCGTGGCACCGCTTCTGTAGTACATGGAGCGTCGAACCCCGTCTTGCTCACACTTGAGGGCCGTGCACGAGGCGCAGTTCTGTGTGTGCTGTCTGAGCAAAAAAAGGACAGCCTCAAGATGGCCCAAGATAGCTGAGCATGGCTCGAGATAGCCTCCGACAGCCTCTAGCCGAGCATGGCTCAAGATAGCCTCCAAAGAGGCCTCACGAAAACTGGCAATCAATTCTGGATGTTTTTTTTTTTTTTTTTCTTTTTTGATTTGCGGCCCGCAAGGAGAAGTCCAGAGGGCGGTATGACCGAGGCTGGGGCACAGCGACAGATAATTGGCGCGAGAACGCGCGAAGTGCACCTGCAAACAAATTAGGAAGAGGGGCGGCCACAATTGGGCAGCTGGTGGGGATACGCGAGCGTCACGAATTTTGCATCATCGTCGGGATGAGCACTGACATCAGGCTGCGGGATAGCCCTGATGGCCTCCCTGGACTGAGTTGCGCAGACAGGGTCGTCAAACTTTCTGGGGCAGTGTGGATTCTTGGGTCATCTGGGGGCCTGCGCAGTGTTTCCATACGGTGAAAGCAGCACCTCGGCCATAACGACAAAATGATCATCGGCTCGCATGGACAGGTCGACGGCAGGGTCCACTCCCTGCCTTCCCACCGAAGCTACGGCCTCGACAGGGACTGACATAATCGATTCTGTGCTGTGGGTCCTGAGGCGAGGCACCCAGGGTCAACCAGGTCCCATGGATACCCGAGTCAGGTTCAGAACAGGTCGCCATGTGCGAGCAGGAAAGTCATGAAAACGTCGTCCGGGCAGATTCTCCGCTTCCGCCCCAATAGGGCCAACGGAGCGCGATAGGCGAGAACCGAGTGTACCGTTGGCATCGACAAGACAGTGGAGAGGGGCTGGGTTGGGTCGAGAAAGGACCACACATTCCAGTAACTTCCACCATGCCTCCACATCTGCTTGCTCCTCGATGGACAAAGCTGGGGCCCGGATTGCAACGAGAAGATGCCGTGACGAGTGTGCGCATGCACGAACGTGGTGTCGCACAAGTGTCTGCCCAGGAGCGGGCTGAAGACATGTATTTACCCTGAGTGCTACTCCACACTGGCCCGAGGTCTCAGCAGCCGATGTCAGGACATGATAGTCGGAACCTGTACGCCACGTGCTGTGCTTCAGTCGTGTCTCCAGTGTTCCCACCAACAGGTACCGTTGTACCGAGAGACGATGTGCAATCGCCAGCATGCGTCCAGGTACGTCGATCCCTGCTGCATCCTGTTACCTACACCTGATGCGCGTGCCGCCTCCGTGCCTTTTGTCCTGCGGGGTCGTAAGGTAAGTACATTGGCGACCGCAATCCGCATATGTCCGAGCGTGGGCAAACTGTCGGGAGTGGGGGATGGCTCGTCATTCGAACTGCGTCACACTGATGGCAGCGAGAACACGACGACAGGGGACAGACGGGGCGGGGGCAAGCTCGGCAGTCGTTCTGGCGCGGTTGGGGGAAAACGCCCGTCACCGCAGTTGGACAGGTCGGGAACCCATATCCATGGTACCAGCGACAGCTCATCAACCAAGAAGTCCCATGGTAGGTCGTTGTATGGTACTGCTGGCGCCAAACCCATGGAAGACAACCTGGCTAGAGTATCGGCCAGCTTGTTTAGTGGGTTCCCCGCATGCCCTGAGACGTGTACCCAAGATAAACCAACATGGTTTCGGAGCCACTTTGTGAGCTCGTCTAAGAGACAAGGCAGCACACCACAAGCCTGGTATTTTACACCTCCTGCTACTGCTTCAGCTAATCATGCTATTGTCTGTCTGTGCGTACTCTCCACGAGGCTGACCGAACATGTTGCGAAGCTTGAGCTAACCAGAGTACAAACCACAGTGCAGCACAGAAATCAGACGGGCCCGATGCACTGATGAACTCATCGCTGAGATGGGGAGCTGGGGACATCAGTGCGATACCTATCATCACGAGTCATTCCACACACGACGAAAGCCCAGAATGGTGGTCCATAACCTCCAGATCCATCGGTGTACGCTTCATACCGAGATCTGTCAGAATCGAGAATGGGGGGGGGCGGGCGGACCCGTGATGCAGCAAGAATTGCTGTGTGGTGGAATGCGGATCGGGCGAGGAATAGCACGCACCAGGAGTCTGCACCGCTCCCTAAAAGAGAGCAGCAGTGAGAGAGCTGCCTGACCAAGCAGCGGAGAGGGCCGAGAACACAGCAGGTGAGGGCAACCGGGCACCGGGCCGGGCGGCGCGCGGCCGTGGCAGCCGGCAGTGGCCGCGCCCGGCTGCGAGGCGCCTGGCTCCGACGGCGCCTCCCTCGGCCTCTTCACCCCGGCGTCGACTGCGGCTCGCCGTCGGCAGCGGCAGCCTCCGATCTCATGGGGCTGATGGGCGACGGCTCCTTTCGTTAGGGGGCCAGATGCGAACCCTACCCCTGCCCCCCACGATTTCTGAGGGGGAGTGTGGGGTTCACTTCGTTCGGGAGCTCCCGAGCGAAGTGAACCCCACCCTCCCCCTCAGAAATGGTGGGGGGCAGGGGTAGGGTTCGCATCTGGCCCCCTATTCGTGCCCTGCTGCGTGGACTGGGGCTGCGGCTGCGGGAGGGCCGGCCCCTCGGCGGCTCGCTCTTGCCCTCTGGCGCGGGGCGGCGCGCTCTCCCGCGGCCACTCTCGCGGCGACCTGCGCGCCAGGGAGCCCTGGGACCACGTCACCTGCAACCCCCTTGCTATCGCTCGGACGTGTGCGCTTCGTCTCGGCGGGGATTCTTGAGGAGCATCCTGGACCATGCTGCGGAAACAACGCCACGCGCGAAACCGAAGAGAAGCACAGGGAATGGACGTCCGAGCGACGGCCAGCTCCTGGCTGTCCTTCTTCAGCAGCGGGTGCTCTGGCACCTCCTCTCTGCGCGGCGGCCGCCAATGTCGGCCGGCTGGCCTCGGCGAGGCCTTCGGCAGCAGGCTGGGCGCCGGGCCTCCGCCGCGCGCGCGGCCCTCGTGGCTGCGGCGGCCTTGGCAGCGGTGCGCTTGGCTTAAGTCGGGCCTGTCCCTCTGGAGGAGGAAAATTCGAAATTAGTAAAAAAATAGTTGTGGGACGTTTTTTGGCTATTTATGGACATGTTTGGAGTATTTTTAGAGTATTTTTTATTTTTCGTCCAAACTGCGCCTGTAGGGGGACAGGCCCGACTTAATGCTTGGCCTCCTGCTGCTTGTGCTGCTCCACGCGCACCCTCTCGAGCGCCGCCTCGTGCGCGTCACGGTGCGACTGCTCAGTGCGGCTCCTGCCAGGCTCCGGCACGGCAGGCGTCGCACCTCTTGCAGGAGCCGGCTCTCCAGGCTCACGGGCAGCTGGCGCTCCTGCGGGGCTCGGGGTCGACGCGTCGGGCTGCGCAGCCGTGGCAGCTCCACCCGATGGGCCACTCGACGCTGACCCAGCAGCCGACTCGGGCCCGCTCACGGTCCGCGGCCTGCGGCTGGTCCGCCTTCGCCTGGGCCACGTGCGGCTCTGCCCCGAGCAGCTGCTGCCGGAGAGGGCGCCGCTCAGCGCGTGCATCTGGTTGGCGAGGTCCACCTGGTTCTGTTGCAGCGCGGCGATGGCAGCCATTGCAGGTGTCGCCATGCTACCAGCGGGGGCCAGTGACGAAGCTTCGCCTCCCATTCCTTTTGCGACAGGCGTGGTCGCCGATCCCGGGGGCGTCGCCGTACCACCGACGGCTGCAGGGCCAGGCTCCGCCATGGGCTCGCCCATCGTCGCGTCGGCAGGCGCGACCTGGGGCGCCAGCTCCCTCAGCTGTTCGAGCAAGACGCGGTCCGTCCCAAGCTCCGTCTCGCGCTGCTCGACCGTGTCCTCGAGCCTCGCGAGTTCCGTCTTAGCCCTCTCTACGGCGGCGACTGCACGGTCCCGTCTCCCCTGGGCACGGGCCACGAACGCAGTCTGTCGATCAATTTGTTCATGTGGCGGCCTGGCCATCAGAATCATCGTCACCTGCACTGAATATTCTTGTTCTTGAAGCTGGATCTGGGTCTGAGACATGTTGAGGCCCCTCGAGGCCTTCAACCTCTTTGCCACGGCAATATCGCAGCCTTGCGAAGCGCCGCACGATGTGCTGTCAACTCGGTGGCGCCTGTGGGTGGCTGCACCCAGCTCGGATGGGCCATCGCCTGCGCAGGCAGCGTTGGGAGCCCGCTCCTGCTCCTCCTCCTCCTCCTCCTCCTCCTTCTCCTCCTCTCTCTTGCCGCCTCCAGAGCTCCGCCCTCCTGCCGCGGCTCCAGCGCACCCCGCCGGGCGGAGCGGTGGCGGCGGAGAGCCGGGCCGCCGCCGCCACACAGCGCGACGCAGTGTGCGTGCCTGGGCCCCTCTCGCACGGGAGCACCGGTGTCTCGCCGGTGTCCGTGCCGTGGCCCTCTCTCGCACGGCGGGCCCGCCGCCGGGCAAACGGTGCGGGCGAGCGCGTGCGGCTGCCGGGGGCCCCCCGACGAGGCGCGCGGGTCTCCTGCATATATACCCGCACTCCGAAGACCTCGGGCAGGGACGGCAGCTGAGAGGCAGGGAGGGCAGGAGGGGGTGCACCTGTCTCGTTCTGCAGCGTGCAGCGGGGAGCTACAGAAGGGAGCGGGGGGATCGGAGAGGGTTGGACGGGCGCCTGCGGTCACATGAGGGGCGCTGCTTGCTGCGTAACTCCCCCTTCCCTCCCTCCTCCTTTCCCTCCTGCTGCTGGTGCTCCTCCTCTTCCACCTTTCCCTCCTCCCTCCTCCGAAGTGTAATGGGGGTGAGGGGCCCGTAGCATTGCTGAGTAAGCCACGTCCATCTTAAGGACCACCTTTATGTTCTTCGTGCGTTAGCTCTCCACCTCGCAATGCTGTTCGTTTGGGGTATGTCCACGGGGCCTTGGTTCCTTGGCGAATGGGGCTCATATCGTGGCGACCAGGCGCCTCCGTGGAGTCATGGAGGGACCCGTCGGCTAGCCTGGAAAGCGAGCCAGCGATGGACGAGGCGGAGGTTGCCGAGGAGGACTTCATGCCCTCGGCGGAGCGCGTGGATGAGGGCCCTGGGTTGGCTTCGCGGTGGTGGACGTGACGCCTCGTGTGGGCTTTGTCTGGAGGATTCTTTTGAGACGACGTCGGCGACGAGCGAGGAGGGGCCACCGCCAGCGTGCGCTGGGCCGATGTGCAAGGGCACCGCGGTGCCAGGCGGCGCCGCGTCGAGGTGGCCGAGCTCGTGGGCTGCGGACAGCCTGGTGCCGACGCGGTCGTGTCCCCGCCAGCGCCCCCGCTGCCGCCGCCGCTCACCGCGGAGCAGGAAGCGGTGCTAGCCTTGGAGGTGGGGAGCGAGGCCATCGAGAGGATCGAGGTGCGCCCCTGGGCGCAGCGCCTCTTCAAGGTGCTGTGGCACCTCCCCCCGCTGCTCACGATCGCGCGCCGTGCCGAGGTCGGGGCCCCAGCTGGCGCGGCCAGCGCGGCGGCGTCGTCCGCCGGCCCGGCGGCCAGGCGCCGTGGTAATGGTGGTGGCGCGGGGCTGCCCCCGTGGCGGAGGCGGAGGCGCCTGGGCCAGCTGGCAGCGGGGTCGCGGAGACGGAGGCACAGCTCCGCGCCAGCGCGGCGCGGCGGCCATGCTCTCCCAGGAGGCGGCTCGGCGCAGGGCGCTCGTCGAAGAGGTCGGTGGGGGGGCCGTGCCAGCGGGCGTCGAGGGCTTGGCGGCGGCGGAGTCGATGGTCAGGGGGCTGACTGCAGCGCGCCCGCAGTGTGGGCGGTTGCGCGTGGTGCTTGCCCCCAGGCGCCGCGGGGGTGAGGCACGGGGGCGGCCCCGACCTCGGAGTCGGGCCCAGCCCGATGGCGAGTAATATTATTCATCGTAGTATTTCTCGCCATACTAATAGTACAACGGCGAGTAATACAACGAATTGTAAAAATACTATTTTTAAAAAACCCTTGTGTGAGTAGTCGTAGTATTACTACTACTACTACTACTACTACTACTACTACTACTACTACTACTGCTACTACTACTACTCCTACTCCTACTCCTACTCCTACTCCTACTCCTACTCCTACTCCTACTGCTACTCCTACTCCTACTACTACTTACCACTACTACTACTACTACTACTACTACTCCTACTACTACTACTACTACTACTTCTTCTTCGTCTACTACTACTACTACTACTACTACTACTACTACTACTACTACTACTACTACTACACATTACTACTACTACTACTACTAGTACTACTAGTACTA